TTTTTTTTTTCAGATAGTTAGATTCTTTCTTTTTTAAGTAATAGATTTCTTTTTTTCAAGTAATAAGTTCTCTTTAAGTACAAAAAAAACAGCATCCCGAAGCCGCAGAGTTTTTAGTATTAGACAATCCCTTGGTTGTTGGATTCTTTTGTCACCCAAAACTCTGTGACTTTGGGATGCTGTTTTTTTGCATAAAAGAAGCTTATTACTTGGATTTACTTCAAAAAAGATTTATTACTTCCAAAAATCCTATTACTTGAATAAAAACTTATTATCTACGTAATAAAAATGAGTCTTAATGTTCATTCAGCCACATTGGTATTTCATAGTTCTTTTTTTTTTTGCTGTATTTAAACGTTGTCCTCGTTTTAGACAGAAAAAATACACTAACCATACTCAAATGAAATCTACTTTACAACATAAAATGTACATTTCTGAAAAAACTACAAATTTAATTTTCGTAAAAATTTTTTAAGTTTAGGTTAACACTTGGCAGAACCCTAAATGAAAAAATTGTAGGGAGATGGACGAAAAAAAGCTTTTTGTTTGTAAAGTAACGAAACCAGTAAATGAAAAAATTGAACACAATAACACATTTTGACTAATAACTCAGCGAGGAAACCAAATTTCTGCAAAATTCAACAAGCGTGTTGACAGAAATTTCACAGATAAAATGATGCCAAATCCACTACAAATTTCCAACAGCAAGCATGTTAAAAACGCTCTGATACCAACTTAGATCAACAGCCGCCTAAATCACCACGGCAGTGCTACCGTAATTGTGATCTCACCCCGACAAATATTTCACACCAAATTGGAAATGAAGACGTCTATATATATGTAAACATGTTTTCTGATTAATAGTTCGTTATAGACATACTTCCTCGTTTGTGAATTGGTCTTTCTTATTACTTTCCAGGCACATTAAGCAGCCTTCTTTGCTCGTCACCTTTTGCACCGTTTTAAATTTTGTTGAACTTCTACCAAAGACCGATTTAAACTAAATCATTTAAAACGTTATTACATTACTTCAAAACTAGCGCTAAATAGAGTTTTAAAATGAGTTAATATACACTGATATAGAGCTAGAGCTCCGTTTTGAAAACCCTACTGCATAAACCTGTTTTGCTAAGAGTTGTTATAACAAGATCAACGTTTAACGTGTGATAGCCATAAATCTCTTCGGCACCACCTAAATCAGTGCTAAACGAATTTTGGATCGTGTCTTTCAAAGGGCACTTTTGAAGTTTGTCAGGATACTCCCGTCAAAAAAAAATTGCATTTTAGACTTCTTTTCCTTAGCTTTACACCAAATATTTCTCGGGAATATAATTTCTTGAAAATGACAAAAGAAACGTTTTTTCTAAAGTTTTATCAACAGTGAATCGTGCATTCATGCACCAACTATAAAAGTTCTACTCAAAGCCCAATTAGATGGAACAAACGAATGACACCAAACAGTCCCGAAAAGTGGAGCTTTTCTTGCTTGCAGTCCGAAATA